ATCGAGCAGCCGGGTCATAAATGTCACAAAGCACATCGCGTCCTGCCTGAGTAGCACCGGCGGGATACCAATGGGAAGTACCTGTAAAGTAATAATCGCCAAAATAATTCCTCTGAGACACTTCTGCAGAGCTTTTGCGATTGATGGTAGTGTCGATTATTTCCCGGATTTTAGATAAAAAATTAACATGCAAATGGGCAAAATGATGTTAATTGTGACCAATTAAAACTGAGAGAAGTCATTCCAAGTGGATACGACAAGTATTCGACTTAATAAGTTAATATCTTTACCGCCTCATTGACTTATCCCATCTCGCTTTCACATAGGTTATCTATTGGGTTTAACCGATTTAGCTATTGCTCTAATTTATAATGCTAGTTCCTGTAATTTACCAGATACAACATTGGTTTCGAATTTACTTGAAAAGATTAACCAAATCCACAAGATTGCGGCTTTCACAAAAAAAAGTGGAAGTTGTCAGTCTTTCCGTTTTCAATAGAAATGGTTTCATTTTGGACTTACCTTCAACGTAGAGTTAGCGCTGTTTATTTAAGCTGGTGCTCCTTCCATCGATACCCGGAAAACAAAATATTGACTAAAAACAATCCTCTAAGAATAGACACTTCTGTGCATTAATGACTGTCTCTAATATCTCCATAAAAATCATGCGTGACTGAGTAACCAGCTCAAATTTGCTTTTACCATATCACGGAAAATCGTAGCTTTGCGGCTTAACTAAAAAAAGACCTTCGCGGGTAAGGGATTAATAACTACTTATATCTTTCTGGATTACTCCTTTTGATTTCCTGACAGCATGTCCCCTTAGCCAAAGAGCCTGGCTAAAATGGTGGAAATAGCAATTTAGTACTTATATTCACCTCAAAAATTTTACAAAGTAAACTAAAAGAAGATTCCCTTCTTCAGGAATGTTAGTGGTACTGTGTTCAAAAGAGTCATCAATATGCTTTTAGGTTCTACGGGATGTTCTTGGCAGACTAATGCCACAATTTTAAAAGCTCTTCTACAGATGGAACGACGCCTCAATGATAGGCTCCTGGTACTTCGCTTCTTCGAAAGTGCCTAACCAAGCTCTGAAAGGTAAAATTTACACCGTAGGAAATTTTCGACGAATAGCTTATAGTCAGTGTTTTCTACCTTCGGCTGGATTGAACTAAATTTTGACCCTCTGATGTTTATACAGACTCAAATCTGCATTTCATTTCTACGCTTTTACGCAATAACCTGCGTTTTGTATCTGTTTTTAGGTTTTTATTAATTTTCAAGCATTTAGATTTGCATAAACAATTCCTTTTATGGCTACCATCGATCGCTGTTTTAAGTAAAACAACAAGCCCATTCTTAACTTCAAATACGAATTCGGAGTTGGCACTTGAGTTATTACTTTAATGTAATAGTAGGTGTTTGTTGTACTCTTGCCAAGGTATTAATTTGGACAACCTCTGCATGCTGCTGAAAGGCGCTTTGAATTTCCATTGGGTAAAAACATCGTGACATTAGAGACCATTACAAAAATTAGTGACCGCATACTTGACACCTTTTAAATGAAAAAATGTTTGATGATTCTTTGGATTGTATGCACATAAACTGACTTTACAATGGTACCGCTCGAACTTGATTTCACTACTGATAAGTGTAAAGCCTTACTACTACATTTTTATGCACTTTATAACTTAATTTTAGAAGTTTGTCACTGCAAGCTCTTTTTTGCAGTAATATCCAGTTTTGTTTGTGGTGCGTGCTGTTAGGAGATGACAAACTGTTAGCATCCGGCATTTTAGCCATGTCTTTCAATTTGTCTAGGAATTTTGCAATGTCATGGCTTTATCCATCCACGACCCCTTTTAGCCCCGTAAGTCATGCGTACATGTCGCAATCATGTGCAATAATTAAGGCACCCAAGAGCGTGGGTGATGCCGAGACATGTGGTACGCGGATACGCAGATGGTGAGCTATGGTTAAAAGCAAATTATCCTCCCACATTTAACAGCATCTTTTGAAAAGTGTCACAAAGTATTACTGGCTAATGGTGTTTATCTACCTGATCATCATTCTTTAGTTTAAAATTCCATTTGAATGCGATTTGATCTTCAGGTTCTACTGTACCCATGTGTTTTTTAAAAAATGTATGGTGCTTAAGTAAAGAAGTGAGCCTGTAATCAGGCTTTCAGCCATGCGGTTTTTTTTCACGCACATCCTCTGCATTGACGACCATGTAATTTTTGCTTGATCTCTCATGAAATAGTTTAACGCCGTCTAGGTTTCAACTTTAACGGCAAAAACCCCGGTAAACTTTGCGTGTACGTCCCATAACATACCCGGCCCCTTTGAAACTCGGCATGACTAATGGAACTCACTTCAAGGAATATAGCACAGATGCCAACA